AAAGTTAGGATAATATAATTGACATTGCTAGATTCCTTGTAAGACCAGGAATATTTTGAATATAAATGTCATATATTTTGCACAAAAGATAACATATTTACTCAGAGTAAACATCAGATCTAAAATTTGTATGTCTAATGCAAAATCTATGATGTTTATATTCAAAATGATCATCAAATTGTAAGAATTCCAGCAATGTAAATTATATTCTGGCCGGATAATGTGTATGAATTTTATGAGCTAAATAAAAAAAAAATTATAATTCACGCGTATATGGGTGGATGAACCTCGGAAAGTGAAAGTTCGGTTCTGGCGAGGCACCGCGTATATGAGAAATCGCGTAAAGTGAAACCGCGTAAAGCGGGGTAATACTGTGTATATATATATATATATATATATACAGTATATATATATATATATATATATATATATATATATATATATATATATATATATATATATATATATATATATATATATATATATATATATATATATATATATATATATATATATATATATATATATATATATATATATATATATATATATATATATATATATATATATATATATATATATATATATATATATATATATATATATATATATATATATATGTATATATACAATATATATATATATATATATATATATATATATATATATATATATATATATATATATATATATATATATATATATATATATATATATATATATACAGTGGGGTATGCTATAATGAACGGATCCTACTACGAATATTCCTATAACGAACGGTTTTACCTATAAAATTGAGAATGCTATAACGAACGAAACTCCTACAACGAACATTATTTAAAAATTTTTTTTTTTTTACTAATTTATTGTTTTTTTATTACAAGTATTAATGATGTTCTTCATTTCAGGGGTTTAGATGCATATTTATGCACTTTTTTACAATTTTTACAATTTTATATTATATTTTTCAGTGTTAAGTGGTTGTATTTGGGGGCCTGGAACGGATTAATCCTATAACAAACGAATGCTATAACGAACAAGGTTCTAGAACCAATTAGATTTGTTATAGCACACCCCACTGTGTGTATATATATATATATATATATATATATATATATATATATATATATATATATATATATATATATATATATATATATATATATATATATATATATATATATATATATATATATATATATATAATTAATCCATCCCATGCCACCAAATACAAGCACTTAGCACTGAAGATTTGCTGTGGAAAATGTAAAAAATACAGTACATTATCTTACCTTAGTGTTGTTCGGCATGCAGGACAGGAGGCAGAAGAGGAGGGGGGAAGAGAGAATTATGGAGAAGAGTGGAAGGAGAGGAGTCATCCTTCCTAGCCCTCTTTGGTGACTGTCTTACAGGCACTTTGTCTGTAGGGTCTTTTGCTACTTTTTTAAAGAAGGAATCCAGGGTTGGCTGCTTCAACCTTGATTTCTGGACCTTCCACAAGTAGTTCATCACATTGTCATTAAACGTACTGATGCCCTTTTCCACAGCACCAACATCAGGATGATAATCCTCCGCAAGCTTAGACAGTTTGCTCCAGCACCAGAACACATCCTTGAGATCTTTGGCTGGAATGATGCAGCTTTCATCCTTGTCCTCATCCTCCCGACTCCTCAGGAGTTAAGCTCCGCTTCAGTGTCTCGTTCTCTTCTTTGTGAAGCTCAAGCAGCTCCTCAGTGGACAGCTCCTTACTGTGCTCATCCACCAACTCCTCAACATCATCATCATCCACTTCCAGGCCCATGGAATTCCCCAGAGTCACAATTTCATGTACAACAGCCTCTTCCTCTAATTCTTCAAAGCCTTCAAAGTCTCTTTGAAGCACACATTCAGGACACAATGGCCTCCAAGCAGCACAAAGACACCTCATAGAAATCTCTTTCCAGGCTGACACAATTAAAAACACAGCATCTGCTATATTGAAGTGACTCTTCCAAAATTCCTTCAAACTAACATCACTAGAAGAAGTGGACGCAAAACATTTTCTAAACAGTGCCTTTGTGTACAGCTTCTTAAAGTTTGAAATTACCTGTTGATCCATGGGCTGGATGAGAGGTGTTGTGTTGGGCAGCAAGAAGTGCACAGTGATGAAGTTGAACTCCTCTGGCAATTCAACCATCAAATTAGGAAGGTGGGCTGGTGCATTGTCCATCACCAATAGAGCTGCCCACCATATTTCATCACCATTATGACGCAATTCCACGAAGGCACGAACGGCATTGTTCTGCACAATGGCACCCAGTCTGAGTTCTTCCCCATCCAAACAGGGGTAAAACAAGGATGTGTACTGGCACCAACTCTTTTTTTCTATTTTCTTAGCTGTCTTCCTTAATCGTGCCACTGCCAATTTAGCCGGCAGGGTGGATATCCAGTACTGGATGAAGGGACTTTTCAACATAAGGCGATTCAAGGCAGGAACAAAGGTGTCGGCCGGTTCCATCACTGAACTTCAGTATGCAGATGACCTCACCCTCATCGCTCACACTGAATGCGACCTACAGGAGATCCTGAAAACCTACACAGATGCGTATGCACACTTCAGCTTCGGGGTGAATGTACGTAAGATTCAGATTCTCTTTCAGACTGCCCCTGGTCATGGGCGTCCGCAGAAAAAAATGCAAGGGGGGGCAATGTTATCCTGAATTCGACGTGTGAAGTGTGAAGACATCATTGACAATTTCGGAAGAGATCCCTGACGGCTCCAATTCCTGTTCTAAGAGTAGTAACCTGCTCTAACTGAATGAACTGTTGAGAAATGTTTATGTTATTTTATATTCATTTTGTATTTTCCATGTAATTTTTTCAAATTTTTTATTTTCCAGGGGGGGGCAAATGCCCCCCCTTGCCCCTCCCTGCGGACGCCCATGCCCCTGGTTCAGACACACCTCCACCATCCACCTAGGTTACTGGTATTACCCTTTCTAATGTTACCCACAAAAGACATCGATGAAGAGATTCAACATCGGATCAGATGTGCATCTCAAGCCTTTCGCAGACTTTGAAACCGTGTCTTCAGCTGTAGGGAACTGAAATTATCTACAAAGTTACATGTATATCAAGCAGTGATCCTCCCCACCCTATTATATGGCAGCGAGACATGGGTCACGTACAGGAGGCACCTCAAGACACTTGAAAACTTTCACCAACGTAGTCTATGTTCCATTCTTCGAGTTCACTGGGAAGACAAGAGAACAAATGCCAATATTCTTGCTGACACCAACTGTAGGAGCATCGAGGCTACCATTATCCACGAACAACTACATTGAACTGGCCATGTTACCTGCATGGATGACAGTACACTGCCAAAGCAGCTACAACGAAATGCTTAGATGAGCACCACATGAGAAGGTGTCAATACTTTCGAGTTAGCCCGACTGCATACTAAACCAGCACTGGAAATACGTTACTGTTGCCCCTCCACACTTGCAACATCTGTGGACAGCACTGCCGGTTCTGTATCGACTTCTCAAATCACACCAACTGTGCCACTTGGCATGTGGGGTTTGTTTACATCTGCTCAATGTGTCCTCCCGCCACTGCAGGTGTTGTTCACTGCCACCTCTCGGTCTACATTTCGGTCAACTAACTACTATGCTTAGACATCATGCCAAAAGTCTCTCAGAAGTTTCAGAGAGGAAGTGGTGTGGGGGATAAAGTCAAAAGAGTGCGGCTATCAATTGGAAAAAAGTTTGGAAATTATAGAAAAAATTGAAAACAAACACCAAAACCCCTGGTTTAAGGTGAGCCATGAATAACGTTTCTATGTACATATCATGTGTTTGAGGTATCTCCGTAGGTGTGAGTGTATGAACGAATTTAATTTCGATTCAGCGAACTAGTTGAGTGAAAAATAACGGAAAAAGTTCCTTCCGCTAAATCGAGAGTTCATTATTTCGGATTCCGTTAAATCGAGAGTACAGTATATTGTATGTACAGTCAACAGCAGAAGTTCGTCCCAACCCACTTGTTTGATATAAGGCAGGTGATCTGATATCACTGTATGAGGAAGAGTTGACAGATATGTTTTAATTGGCAAGTTATTTATGATTTATGATTGGAGATTGACTAAGAATACATTTCTTGTATATAACATAAATATTATAAATGTGTAAAATGTAGGAAAATAATGTGATTGAAAAATATATGACATCACTTCATAATAAAATACCATTAAACTTGAAAAATACTCATTGGCATCAGCAGTATGGATACATTTTGTTCCCCAGTTATGAACCATCCTCCAGCAATCTCATAAATTTCTTTATAACATTATATTCCTACATTTTACACACTGATGTTATTTAAGTTATATAAAAAAAAATGTATTCTTAGGCAATATCCAATCATAAATCTTAGATAATTAGTAAGTTAAAACATATCTGTAACTCTTCCCCATACAGTGTTACCAGATCACCTGCCTCATATCATGCAACTGGATTGGGACAAACTTCTGCTGCTGACCGTCCAAGTCACATGGGTCAGGCTGGCTAGACTGATCTGCCCTTCTATCATCCAACTGTATTCCATATGGATGTTGGGTTCCTGTCTTAAACCTATACCCAATATAGTTGTTTATTCTTGATAACTGCTTTATTGTTATTCCTCACCTAACAATACACACTGAACTGACTTTCTGATATTGGTAATGGTAGTCAGAGTTAAAAGTATTGTCCGGTCTGACTCTGACACTGGGGTCAGTGAGTTACCCAATTCAACTAGAATCTTTTACCTACATCTACAGAACCTACTATAATTACCCTAAGCCCCCTATAACAGACAAATACTTATGTGTGTATGCTTTAAATAGCTTAGAAAGAAATATAAACAAATAATTTTCTGCCTACATCATATGTAAAAGTGGAAAACAATGAGCAGATTTATCAGTTAACATTTAAACATACCTCCTTTAAAAATCTATGTGTTAGTAAATTAAAACCAATTGATAATGTTTTTTAGTCTTTTATGCACCAAAAGTACATACAGATTTATCTCATTATAATAACATCAGCTGGGCAGAAGTTCGCATATATTATATACACAGAATATCTTTGTAATCTCATAGTGCAACAGCTTGTTATAAAAAATTGTCTCAGCCCAGTTTCCATCATTTTGACATTTCAGAAAACATTTTTGTCATCTGAAAATGCAGGTTCCCCAGACCAAGCTGAACTGTTGTAGACCACCAACAAGGCATGATCCTTGGGACATGGATGGAGTTTCTTATAAAAATTATTATGTATTATATTGTCGGGACAAAGTTAATCACTCCTTGCCAAGTACCAAGAGACTGCCTTACTACAGAACTGTAGTAGACACTGTAACCCAAACTTTCTTTTACTTTTATAATTGATTAAATATTATAATTAACATGGCAGTACAATATGGATAAAAAGATCACAATTAAACTATTTTTAATAGGATCAACATAAGTACAGTATTTACATTTGCCTTTAATTTCTGTTAGTTTTACCCTAGTTAGTGTTACAAATTTAGGGCTGCCATACAAGTGACTTTGCTATCAACTGATAGTTACAGCAAATTCAATAAAGTAAGGCTCAAGATCCATGTAAAGCATCTACACGGCAGAATGAGAATCACAGTCCACGCTCCACAGAATCAACACCAATTAAATAAGAATATATTAAGAGTTCATAAACTGATTGTCAAACTTTGTGGAAGGACAAAATTCCACATAAATAGAAAAGTTACAAAAACCTGAAGGGAAATAATGAACACAACACTTATGTACAACACTCAAGTGAAGCTTACGGCAGTTTGTTGCTGACATATTCAACACAGAATGACTAGTAGCATCATCAGTATGAACTAATAATGCAGTATGATATGATCCTTCAAAACAGTTACAAGATACTGGAATGTGGACACTGAACATTGCATAATTAGTGAAGATATGTACATAATTGCTCTATAAGCTCTACAAAACTGTTGTGACACTTGCCACACTAAAGTAAATTGAGCTTCACTAAATATATCACATGTAAAAGTCTTTCTTGAGCTGCTTTTCCCTGCACTGAATATCAAAATGCTGAAGAATGCCAATACCATCTACAGTACAGTACACAGAAATGCTAAGAACCATCATTTATGATTCATTGCAGTGCATGGTAGCGGTTACTGGCAAAATACAAGTAGCACATACCTTGTTACTTTTATGCAGAGTTTCTCAAACACATAATAACTGCCATTATCTTGATTGCTGGACCTAATTTTATGTGTAATAAAGTAACCAGGTCATTTTGAGTCATCATTAAGAGGGCCTCACCATCAATCTGTTGCTCAATAAACACTGATGCCACTTGCTCACAACCAGGAATTCGTGCTATTAACTGCTGGACTTGCTCTGCATTCCATGATTCCACATCAGATCGCTTAGCATCACCAAGTGAAGCAGTGAGATGGCGGTGGCGTTCCCATGAGTGTGGCAAGGGAGCTGCTGGGTGTGGATTGTAACCTGGATTAAAGACTGATTGGTGTACCATCATATCCACACCATGATCAGGTGGCTGGGCTGGTGGAGGTGGTTGTTGTTGAGTGATATGGGTTAGAGGTGGCTGTTGTGTGGACGTGGAGGGCATAAGACTGGAGGAGCATATAACTGTGGATGTTGCGACTACACTAGACATTACTGTGTTTGTACTTGCTACTAGCCTTATTTCTTCATTAATGTTATTATTATTATTACCGAGCTTTGGAAGTTTTTGTGGTCTGTATGGTTCTGGAGGGCTCAGTTCATCAAAGAATTTTCTTCTTTTTCTAACACGTTTTTTCTGGCAGTCTCCTTCCTCCACTTCACCATTTCCTTCCTTTCCACCATACGAACGAAGATCTAATTTGACTTTTGTACTAACCTTACTCTTTTTTCTTTCAGGTGGATACTGTAATCTGTCTGGAATTATGCTTTCAAGATCCTTGTTAATATTCTGTAATGAATAAGGGCAACCATAGGCAGTATGGTGAGTAGTATATATTGGGCCCTTGATATGACCAATTCCTTTACACCCTGGAGTTCCACAACCCATCCCAGAGTCTACATCCTCTGCTTGTTGTTCAGGAGTAAGAGGTGGCTGGAGTGGATGAGCAGTTTTGTTACTCCATGATGGTGGGTGAATATCTAGGGAATCATCGTCTACCCAGTAATCATACTCATCACCCCATCCATCAAAGTGAATCTTCAATTGATATTCTTGAACATCAACAACAGTGGCAACACGCAGAAGGGCAGGGTTCCGCTTGTCGATGACCTCTAATTTCATGTTTTTCTTAAATTCTCTAGGAGGTCTTGTCTTAAAGGCCCTTGCTGGAACAGCCATACAGTTAGTTTCTTGGAGGTATTCATGCCAATTAAAACTTTCTGGATTTGGATAATCATTAGGGGGGTGAAGAACAATATTGTTCTCTGCACACCAACCTACAGGATGGATATATGGTGAGGACACTTCATTCCACACATCAAAGGCCTTGTCCCATCCATCAAAGTGAATCAAGACACAGTTATCTAACACGTCAGCCACTGTTGCTACACACACCCACATATTCTTACGATCCTCTGCCTCAAGTTTCATACCCACTCTAAAATTGTTTGGAGGAATTATAGTAGAACTTCCTCTATTGAAGAAAGCTTGTCTTGGTGCAGTTTGGGCTTTACAATGTTCTAAATATGCTTTCCAAGAAAAGCCTATAACCCCAAGAGGAGGTTCCAATTGTCGGCCGTTCTTCTCACACCAGCCAGCAGGAAAAATGTTTGGAGAGTCTGCATTAATCCAATAGTCATATTGGTCTGAGTAACCATCAAAGTGAACTCTTAGTCTATATCCAATGATTTCTGCCACTGTCATTACACAAAACAAAGACTGGTGATTTGGATCAATGGCTTCTAGTTTCATGCCAGGTTTAAACAAGTTTCTACCAAATGGAAAGGGCTCTGGCCATATTTTCAGAGGTGCAGCTTTTGTCAGTCCTTTAGCACGTCCACAATGTTCCAGGTACTTCACCCAAGAGAAATTATTTTTCCCATCCTGCCATGGGTGTTGAAACTTACTCACAAGAGATTCAGCAATCATTTTAGAGTTTCTAGAATCCTCATCACTTCCCTGTGCACCCTCTTCACCATCACTACGATGTCCCTCACCACCAACTCCCTGATCTTCTTCAGCTTTTTCACTCTGTTTGAGGCGTTTCCGTCGTTGCCGCTCCTTCTCCTGCTTCAAACGTTCTTTGCCCCATTCTAGTTCTCGAGCATCATGTTCCTGAAACAAAAACTTTAAACATAAATATCTGGGATGTGTCAATAAAATACACAAGTTGCCATAAAAGGCATTTAGTTAACTATATTTTTTTTAGCTCAATTCTAAATTGCTCAGAGTATAGTGGAGTTGCAATAATTATAATTCACCAAATACAAAATAACATTCTTAAATTTGCATGTACAGCATGCCTTTAAAATTCACTGGGGGTTAGGTTCTCAAAATGGCTGCGAATTGCCAAATATGCAAATAACTTTCATTGACCAGAGGGGAGAGGTACATTTTTACTCGTGTGCAAAGAAATGTATATTCCCTTTATGTGTTTGCCCACAGGACAATTATTTCTTTTATATATATATATATATATATATATATATATATATATATATATATATATATATATATATATATATATATATATATATATATATATATATATATATATATATATATATATATATATATATATACAGTTGTACCTCACCATGGTCAATTGAACCCAGAGGTCCGGCGTAAGTAAAATAATTAAGTGAACAACAGAACATATGGGATTAATTCCAATAGAAACCGGCCCGACCCCAAACTCCACTTTTGGCACATACCTATGTTGTAGTAAAAATAACATCTTAATTTTATGATGGTACATGCACACAATTAATACTTAAGAGAAATAGAAATACAGTGCTCAAGTTAATGTCCATTCAAATAATGGACTCACACTCCTGAGGGTCCTGCTAAGTGAACTAAGTGAACAACAGAACATATGGGATTAATCAATAGAAACTGCCCACCCCCTAAACTCATAATTTCTTTTAAAGCGCATATACCTATGTTGTAGTAAAAATAACATCTTAATTTTATGATGGGTACATGTACACAATTAATACTTAAGAGAAATAGAGAAATACAGTCGCTGCCATCGTCCATTCAAATAATGGACTCAACTCACTCTCCCCACACCACACTGCTGGCTCTCCTCTCAGAGAAATTTTGGGGAAAAACCACCAAATTTTTAATAAATAATACCTCAAACTAAAGTTAGATAATATAATTGACATTGCTGATTCCTTGTAAGAATAGGAATATTTTTGAATATAAATGTCATATATTTTGCACAAAAAGATAATAGTTACCTAGAGAAAAATTTTATCTAAAATTTGTATGTTTAATGCAAAATATAAGGATGTTTATATTCAAAATGACTTACCAAATTATAAAGAATTCAGCAATGCAAATTATATTCTTGACCGGTAATTTGTAAGGAATTTTTATGAGCTAAAATAAATATCTTCAGTTAAAAAAACAATCTTCACAACACTATCTGTCAATCAAAGTACCGCACCTGCTCTCCAACCACGTGCCGTCAGTCCCAACCTCCACCAATCCTCCTTCCAGGGTTTTTAACATTTAGTATTAAATAATACCAGATTAAAGTTAGGATAATATAATTGACATTGCTGGATTCCTTTGTAAGACTGAGGAACATTTTGAATATAAATGTCATATATTTTGCACAAAAGACAATATAGTTGTTTGGAGGTACTATCTAAAATTTCTATGTCTAATGCAAAAAATATGATGTTTATATTCAAAATGATCATCAAATTATAAGAATTTTGCTAAATGTAAATTTCATATTCAGACCGGGTAATTTGTATGAATTTTATGAGCAAAACAAATATCTTCAGTTAATAAAAAAAATTCTTCATTGGTAATAATAGATGGTCGGTCGGTTCCTCCCCACCCCCACCAACCGTCCCGTGAGATGTGGATTACTAATTAAATTTTAATAACAATAATTTCAAACCAGTTAGGATAATATAATTGACATTGCTGATCTTTAAGATTGAGAATATTTTGAATATATGTTTATATTTTGCATGCAAAAAGATACTATAGTTAATTTTGAAAATTTTTATCTAAAATTTGTATGTCTAATGCAAAATATGATGTTTATATTCAAAAATGATCACCAAATTATAAGAATTCCAGCAATGTAATTATATTTGCCGGGTATCAGGCGAATTTTATGAGCTAAAACAGGCAGTCAGGCAGGGTGGGC